GTTTATATGTTGAGATTTTTTAATTTAGATTTAACATCATTTGTTGATTTCATCATTATAGTACATAAAAATTTTAAAACTCATGAAATTTGCTAGTGTTGTCAATTTTCTTTGGGTATTAAAACTTGATATTTTTCTATACTGAAAAGCAGTTTAATTATTAATAATATATTAAAGTAACCAAACTGATCATTGGCCACTTAAAATAATATTTTTTTTTGAAAAAAAATATTATTGGCCACTTAAAACTTTTCTACTTCGTTGCTAATTAAGCAAAAAAAAAACCAATCTTGTCATACTACATACATATCAAAAATCTAAATTTTAGTTGACGTGGAAGGGTAAATGGGCAATCTAAGACTATGGAATGGGTATTATAGTTAATAATTTTTTTAGTTTTTACTTTTTTTAAATATTAAATATTTAATTTTAAATTTAATTAATTTTTGGCCCACGAGCCGGCCCAGACCCAACCTCGGTCAAGCCTCAAGGGCCAGTAGACTGACTTGGGCCGGGCTTATAAGTCTCAGTTTGAAATGGGCTAAAAAATCCCAACCCAATCCTACCCAAATAGCGGACTGAGTTAAACTGACTTCATGGGTCAAGCCCATTTTAACGGCTTAACAGACAATATTCAAACAAGGCATCGCTATATAATTTACATCAATTACAATTTTCCATCTAAAAGTAATTAAAATTTAAAGAAGCAACTTCAAGCCTACTACTTAGTGATTAACAAAGTTTGAAGAAATTCTATATCGATTATTAAAAAAAAAAATTCCAGTGCGATTGTAGATAATACATATGCTAGTATAGACTAATATTTTCTCTGACTGTACGAAAGAAGACATAAATGAAAGGTGTTGACTGATTTATTTTTGTTCTACACTAGTTTATGTCTTCTTTCGTACAGTCAGATAAAATAGTTTATACTAGCATATATATTATCCTTACAACTATGCACTGTTTTTGATAAATGAAGGTGTTGACTGTATCAATCCTTACATCTCCGACAACCGGTGGAGTGACAACTAGTTTTGGTATGTTGGGAATATCATTATTGCCGAAACCAATGCCTACATTGCATTTGCAGGTAAAAGAGTAATTGAACAAACATTGAATAAAACAGTACTCGAAGGTTCACAAGCAGCTGAATACTTATCCCAGAAGAGTTTATTCAACATAATTGTACCACGTAATCTTTTAAAAAGCATTCTGAGTGAGTTATTTAAACTCCACACCTTTTTTTCTTTGAATCAAAAGTCAAGCAAAATCAATTAGAGCACTAAGTTCTATTATTTTATTTGTGTTTGTAGCAAAACAGTAGTTGGTTTATCGGAATCAAAGTAAATAAGATAATAATGGCGCTTTCTTTGATGATAGAAGATTTAATTGTAGAAAGAATCAAAACTAAAGTTGAGGATAACTCTTTTTTTGACCTATATTCCTGATTACTAATCAAGAAGCCTTTATCAACAAAAGTGAGTTCTTCCTTTCGTGAAATTAGGAAAATAAAATGAATTTATTCTTGTTTTAGGTATATAATTCAAAATTCAAATATATAGATAATAGAGTTTTGTATCTTTCTCTATCTCCCGAAAAACCATTTTAGATAAAAATTCATTTTGGGTCGGATTCGAACGAATCTTTCGATAATCTGTAAGAAACTCTTTATCTAATTTTAGAAAATTAGAAGACAAGAACAAAAGACAAAGAAATGAAGAAAAATAATAAAGTTTATTATCATACATATCTTTCTCATGAACGAGATGAATAAGTCCATTTATTTAGTTCTACACTTCTACATTCTTTGCACTTATTATACCTACTCAATTAGATTTAGATATATAGATACTTAGATCAATACTAAGAATTTCAAATTCTTCAAATTCTATTAATAAAAAATATTATCTAATTTCTAATTATTAATTAGTAATTAGAATTCAAATTCTTAATTTAATTATAATTATTAGAAGATATCTTTATTTATATAATAACATAATAACATATACAGATAGTAAATCGAGGTACCCCTTCTATGACAAATTTGAACCTTCCATATATTTTTGTGTTGTTAGTACGCCTAGACTTTCCGACAATTGCAATGGCTTCTTTATTTCTTCATGTTAAAAAAAATAAGATTGTTTAGATCCGCTCCCATAAAGGTAATTTGTTAATATAAAAATCTCTTATATTGACAACGTATATAATTAAACTCTAGGGGAAGAAAAAGTGTAGTTTCCTCTCCACTCTGTAAAAATATTTATTAGAAACTGTACTAGGCATGAAACTACTTCCTTAGTCCCATTTTAATTAACTTACTTTTTATATTGTATATACTAAAAATATGATCTCTTCCATAAAGCATCAAAGATAAAACCCTCATAAATTAGTAGTACTACTTTATATTGTTTAGTAAATTGATGTGGCATCTTTTCATCTAATTTTTCTATTTTTCTATTTTTCACATGTTAATCTATTTTCTTAATATTCTTCACTGCTAAACACAATATAATAATCCATTCAAATGTTTCGTGCTTAAACTTTGTACAAGTCAACTCACAATTGGAGTACAAGTTTTAGCTATATATATGACAAAGACCACAGAATTTACTTGGAGCAAACACCTTTGGCAGGCATTCAAAACGCAGACAGTCAGTCACACACAGATCACACACAGATCTTTGTAGATATTCAAACAATTGGCGTAACTGGTAAAGTTGTTGTCATGTGACCAGAAGGTCACGAGTTTGAATTGTGAAAACAACCTCTCGCAAAAATGCAACGTAAGGTTACGTACAATAGACCCTTATGGTCAGGTCCTTTCCTCGGACCCCGCGCATAGCGGGAGCTTAGTGCACCGGACTGCCTTTTAGTTTTAGATAGTTGGCAAAGCATCACGAAAAGGAATAGAAAAATAAGCAGATGTCATTGGTATCTTATCGTAAACATATGAAGGTACAAGACACAACAACAACAATAACAAACCCGGTGAAATCCCACAAATTGAGTCTAGGGAGGGTGGTATGAACGCAAACCTTAATCACAGTATATATGAAGGTACAAGAACCTTACTTGAATACCTTCATATACAATACCTCACTTGATCACATGTTTCATTTTATCAAATATGAATGCCCCGACTATGCAATATATTAAGTTTGGACATGACAACCAATTCTCGAAAGATAACGATAACAGCTACGCATATATATCATAATAAGATTTGTAGAGCATAACAATGTAGCAGGGTCATTACTAAGACAAATACCAACAATGAGAAGTGCATAAATTCCAAAATGGAGCTTCAACTAGAAAGTTTATCGCCCCATATACTGAGCTCATCAGAAAAGCTAGGAATAAGAAAACAGCAGACATCCGAACCAGATGCCTAACCAGTGTTTTGGATAGCGTGCGGCGACAAATAGCGACCAGGGCCCGCTTCACTGAGGCGAGAGGCGCGCAGCAAAGCGCTCGCCTTTTTGATGTGAAGCGACAATTTATACAAAAACATAAAATATTATATACATATAACTAAAACTCAATAACAATGCAGTACCCGCAACACAAAGTATTGGGAAGAAAAGTTGGAGATGGAAGAAGGAATGTTTTGAATCTAGATGAATATTACTCATCAGACAAACTAAGCATTCTTATCTTGACAGCAATCTTAAGATATTGAAGCAAAGTAGACGGTTAAGTTATAAAATAAACAAAAATGGCAGTCCGGTGCACAAAGCATCCCGCATCCACGCAGGCCTTGGTAATGGACCGCACCCCTTAGGGTGTGATGTAGACCGTCTATCCTAATGCAAGCATTAGTGGCTGCTTCCACGGCTCGAACTTGTGACCTATAGGTCATACGGAGACAACTTTACTATTACTCCAAGGCTCCCCTTGAGTCGGTTAAGTTATATGAAAACTGTAATTACCAAATGACACTTGCCATCCGATTACCATGCAACCCTGAAGGTTTTAGACTTGGTTAACCTTAAAATGCAAATATTTCAACCAATACTAGCAGGAGAAAACCAACAAGATAGAGAATTAAGGAACTGTTCTGCAGCATCCAGCAGTTGAGACCCCTAAACTGACAATAAATTGTTCTAAATTCTACTTAATAAGTGGATCCTACTCAGACCAACCATATGCTAACACAACTCAATGTGTATGTATCTAGGACCCAAACCACCAGCATAGCTGTCTTCTTACAAATATCTATTTTGTCACAGTCCTATTTACTCTCTGGTCTGTTCAAAGTTCAAACAAACAAATATTAGAGCTTGACCTTAAGGCAGTTGGTTTTTTGTTGGATTGCAGCTAATGGAGCATGTTTAATGCAAGAAAAGCTAAAAAGAAGGGACCTGAACATTATGTAATAGGTGCTACATATCAACTCTGATGACGTCAATCACCTGCTACTACAATTGTACACTCTAGTAGAATAACTTTGAAATTTGTTTTTTGACCCTTTTAACATTAGATGGGATGTATAGGTAGATTCAAAAGTCACTACAGAAAAAAGGTAGAGAGGCACATGTCATTGAAATAACAAAATCGCATGCTACTAGCTACTGACATGTACCTTACGACACTTTAATAGCTAATCCTACGGGCCACAAATACCAAGTCAATTAAAGGACAACAAGAAGGCACCTGGACAGAAACTGAATTTTGATACGGTAAGTGTCTTCATTCAAACACGCACCCCAAATATCCCACAGAAGATCTTGACCTCATTGATTAATGGCTGAAGCATAAAGAGATACCCTGGTGCTATAGAAACTGTAACGTTCATAATACTAAGATTAGAGCCAAGCACCCACATGTTGGCTGAACAAAGTTATGCCATGTCCTTTCACATTGACAGAGAAGCCAGGTTAACAAGTTGACAACATATTGGTACTAAGCGCTGAGGACATGAGAAGAAATGTATGTACATGGGATTCATTGATTCCATCATAACATAGTATACCCCATCAATATTTGACCTTGGAACATAGAGAACCATTTACATTCCTGAGAAGTTTCATGTGAATGTAGCCATTTCAGATAATAGGTGCTTTAGTGTTGCAGGAATACAGGGTTTATTAATAAATCACATATACCATTAGGAAAATACATTACAAGCTAAGACAAAAATAAAATCTTTAAATCATCTTCAACTATACACATGCAAAGACTAAGTTTTGTTTGCTGAGACAAACTAAAAGAAATAAACACAATTTTAAGGAAAATGGCAGTGCTCGCACCTCTGCTAAAACGCACTGTGTTATAGAAGGAGAAAAATATAATCTCAATCCTGAATCCCAAGCTCAACCTCAAGATCATCATCTTCTTCAAAGAGCTTTAGGAGGCGAGCTTGCTGTTCTTCCCTTTTCTTCTTCTGCCATATCTTGAAAAGGACATAACAAAATCCAACAGCAGCTAAAATTCCAAGTAATACAATAGCTACTCTCACTCCGGTGGAAATTCTGGATGAATGACTTTTCACTTTATTTTCAGTAGATGCTACTGAGGTATCTGCCAAACCTTTATAAACACCATGAAGGATGACTCAGCATGTTTACTCATAAATAGAGATCAAGTTACACTTCATTTATTTAATTTCTCATGGATTGTTATGATATTGCAGATATGGGATTGACAAATTTATAGCTAAACCTATAGGAGCATAGACAACAAGGCACTTGCAAGAATAACCCTAAATATGATTTTTAATTGATCTTGCTGAAATTGCAATTAACATATCAAATCAGAATAGAGAATTCAGTCTCTGGAGCAACTGGAGGGCAAGATTGGAACTTTATAAAGTCCCCTAAGAAGCAAATCCATGAGAAAATAACATCAAAAAACAATAGTAGCAACAAAATTAAGCTTTTGAAACTTAAAATTGCAAATTTGCACACCACTTGAAAACTCTTGAATCTTATATATTAATTCAATTTCAACAGCATTCAAATTCTGCAACACATGGGCTCAGCTCCCAGAGTTCTTATCCAGAATTGATCAAATATGGAGCAAACCAGTTGAGGGATACAAGATGTATCAAATTGTGTATAAGCTGAAACAGTTAAAGAAGAGCTTGCAGGAATTAAATAGACAACACTTCAGGAATATACTGACTGAAGCAAATGAAGATAGAGAGGCCTTGGAAAAAATTCAGAAAGAGTTGCAATTGAAGCCAGGAGAGGCACGGCTGCAGGCACAAGAGAAGGAAAATTACCAGAAGTTCAGAAGGAGCTCTTACCTAGCTGAGATTTTTTTACAGCAAAGAAGTAAAGCTAAGTGGATCAAGCTGGGTGATGATAATACTAGATACTTCTTTTCTGTGATCAAACACAGGAAGCTTCAGCAAGCTATTACACAGCTGAAGAATAAAGATGGGCAGTTGCAAACTGAGCCTGACTCTATAGCTCAGATCTTGGTGGATTTCTATCAGGATATGCTAGGTAGGAAATCAAATCACAGAGTCAAAGCATTTAAGAGTATCTTGCACAATGGGAAAAGGTTGACATTAGAGCAACAACTGAGATTAGTACAACCATATCATGAGATGGATGTAAAGAAAGCACTGGGTAATATTGACAGGAACAAGAGCCCTGGGCCTGATGGTTACAGCAGTGAATTTTTTAAGGCTACCTGGCAGATTATAGGAGAAGATATAACTCAAGCTATACTTGAGTTCTTTAGTACTGGGCATCTCTTAAAGCAGTTAAATGCTACACTGATCTCCCGGATTCCCAAGATAGAAGTACCAATGGAAGCAGGTCACTTTCGACCAATTTCATGTTGTAATGTTCTATATAAGATCATTTCTAAAATGATTTGTGTCAGACTAAGAGAAGCAATGGGAAGTATTGTGGCAGAGAACCAAGCTGCTTTTGTCAAGGGGAGATCTTTAGTGCATAATGTGATGGTTTGTCATGATATCTTGAGACACTATAGCAGGAAGACCACTCCACGATGTATGCTGAAAATAGATTTAAAGAAGGCATATGATATGGTTAGTTGGGAATTTATTGCGGAAGCATTAGAAGGCTACAGTTTTCCAAGAGCATTCATAGCAATAGTCATGGAATGTGTTGCATCTACAAAGTTCTCAATTAAGGTTAATGGAGAAGGGCATGGATATTTTGAAGGAAGAAGAGGTCTGAGACAAGGTGATCCCATGTCACCCTTACTCTTTGTGCTAGTTATGGAGTATTTTTCAAGAACTTTGAAGAAGATAGGAGAGCTGCCTCACTTTAAATATCACCCAATGTGCAAGCAGACTAAACTCACCCATCTAATATTTGCCGATGACTTAATGCTCTTCTGTAAAGGAGACATGAAATCTGTTTCTAGACTAATGGAGGCCCTTGCTCATTTTAGTGAAGTAACAGGTTTAGTGGCGAACATGGAAAGGTTAAGCATCTTTATGGCAGGTATGGAGGATGACATCAAGAATCAATTGGTACAGCTAACAGGGTTCTCAGTAGGCACTTTGCCAATAAGATATCTGGGATTGCCTCTTTCCTCTAAGAAGTGGAATAAGATTGATTGCCACCAGCTTGTAGACAAGATAACAAGCAGGATTATAAGTGCCTATGCAAAAACATTGTCATATGCAGGGAGATTGCAAATTATTAATGCAGTTTTGTTTTCAGTTTATAACTTTTGGGGTGCAGTCTTTGTTTTGCCTCAGAGTATACTAAAAGAAGTAGACAGAAAGTGTAGAGAATACCTATGGGGAAGTACTGAAGGAAAGAGGAAAGTAACATTGGTATCATGGGACAAAATCTGTAGACCAAAGAAGTATGGAGGTCTCAATGTGAAAAGTTGCAAACTATGGAACATTGCTTCTGTAGGAAAGCTAATATGGCAAATAGCATGCAAAAAAGATACATTGTGGATTAAATGGATCCATGGACTGTATATGAGAGGCAACCAAGATATTTGGACTCATATACCTCCTGTGGATAGTAGCTGGTATTGGAAGAAACTTAATTCTCTCAAAGATGTGATGACTAGCTGGTACACAGGCGACGTCTACAATCTGACCTCGAATGGGTGCTATTCTGTTAACAAGAGCTACATTGCACTACTGGGAGAGATGGACAGGCTTCAAGAAGCAGATATGATATGGAACTCAATTATGCTGCCAAGTGCCAAGACATAGGTTTATAGTGTGGTTGGCTAGTCAAGACAAATTGCTTACAAAGGAAAGGATGGAAAGGCTGCATATCCAAGTGGAGGATGCGACATGCTGTCTATGCACTGATAGTAAGAGGGAAACACATAAGCATCTATTTCATGAATGTAGCTGGACACTGGAAGTAAAAGAATCACTGGAAAGATGGACGGGCATCAGAACACAAAAGCAAGATACTATACAATGCTTAAAATGGATCAAGGGGAGGCACTGGAAACAATTCAAGAAGGAAATAGCAGCTGCATTACTGGGAGCAAGAATTTATCATACTTGGCAGGCGAGGAACTGGAAGCAATTCAGAGGGACATATATTACTACAGATATAGCAACAGAACAGATAAAGAAAGAAATAGTGGAGAGAATAGAATGTAGGAAAAACTCTAGGAAAGCAAGCAAATGTAAATATCTGATCCAACAGTTTTGTAACTAGTTATTTTTTTTCTGTTCTGAGGCTTAGGAGGGTAGACATACTGCTCCTTCTCCTAAGTGCTCGATAGGTGTAAAGTTTGGTTTGTCTATGGTAATACATCACAGTTTTACCAAATTCAATTTCAACACAAAATCTAAAAGGCTCATAACCCATTCAACTCAATCCTAACACAAGATTGAATCTTTTCCTTCTATAGACTTCACAAAGCAAAACAAAAGACTTTTTATGAATTTAAACAACAAATCCAAGTGGGTTTCTCAAGATTTAGCATAAAAAGGTACAACCGTTTCTATATCATCCCCCTAAAAATCTCAAATACAGATTCTCTTTTTAAGAAAGAAAAGGGTAAATTAATATGAATTTGAGAATTTCAACACAAAATCCAATTGGGCATCTCAATATTTAGCAGAAAAAGGTACAAACTTTTCTATGTCGTCCCTCTACAAATCCCAAGCATAGATATTCTTTTACTTTTTTGTTCAGGAAAAAAAAGATTAGTATAAATTTCAACACAAAATCCAAATGGGTATCTAAAAATTTTAGCAAAAGAAGGATACAAACCTGGAATCAATTGAAGAAAAAGTGAGAACAAAGTCAAGAATATGGATGATTGAAGAGGTCTCGAGTTAAGGGTTTTACCCATCTGCATCTCTACTGTTTACTTCTCTATACCCTTTACGTTTTTCTTTGTTTCTGTGCTTAAAATAGGGGAAAATAATAAGCCATTAATTACTACTAGTCTTTATATTACGAGTATATGCTTCCTCCGTCGGCAACCATTGGCTTGTTGAAAAGTTTGTTGTGTTGTCAAGTTTCAACTGTTGGTGGATTTAGTCCAAATTTGGTGCCTAAATTATAATCCTATCTGGAATTAGCTTTGTAACAGAAGCTTCAAAAGAATTGAAGAAAGGAAAGTGGGAGAATAAACTCTATTTTTCACTTTTATGTGGAATTGTGAATAGACAAAAGTAGAATATATTCCTATTGAAGTTTTTTTTCTTAAGCACCGGTATTTGAACCATAAGATCCAATTACTTCAAATTTACGCTAAAAGGCTCGTTATAATCCTACAATCTAAAAAACACACAAAAAGAATTTGCAAAATAAAAGTAAAAAGGAAAAACAAAAATATGGAACTTGCTAAAAAAGATTCTAGTTTAAACATCGAAGCCCTCGCTACTTTGGTAAATAGATAGAAATATTTGTAAGTGCATAATGTCTTTAATTGACCGGCTACGTTTACATTGTCGATATTATACTCTTTGATTTTTCCTCCTCAAAAGTTTTGGTCTTTTTTTTTCGGTCTAAAGAAATTATTTAATTTTATCTCAACTCTATATGCATTTCAAAATTCTCTGCAGGAAAAATCATCCTACAGTGAGGATCAAGGGAATATGTAATATGGCCAAGTGTAGACTTTGTTGGCAATATTCTTAGAAAAATAAAAATATTGCATTGTGTGGTGGACATCATTTGCACAAGTTATATCTCTTCTTTTACACCTAAGAGGCCAAGGCTTTTTTGCCTATAAAAGGAAAGGTCATTAGTTCATTTTATACACACCAACAAGACTTGATTCTTCATTTCTTGTTTCTTTCTTTCTTCCTTTATTAAGAGTGTTTTGTATGAGAGTTAAGTGTTNTAGTTCATTTTAGACACACCAACAAGACTTGAGTATTCATTTCTTGTTTCTTCCTTTCCTCTTTTATTAAGAGTGTTTTGTATGAGAGTTAAGTGTTGGGAAGCACTTGTGTGAACTCTTTCTTTGGAGTGATCTTGTGAGGTTATTCCCTTAGGGTATTTGAGATTAATTAGAGTATTTACTCTAATTTTGTACTCTCTTTTGTACTCTTATTGGTATAGTAAAATTGCTCCTCTCCGCTTGTGGACATAGGTCACTTTGACCAAACCACGTTAAATTTGTGTCTTGTTTATATGCTTTAATTGCCGTTATTATCAACTTGCATTGTCTTTGTTATTGTCATTATAACATTGTTTGACTAAATTCTGCACTACACGAGTTCCCGATCCTAACAAATTGATATTAGAGCCGGATCTAACCGGGTTTGTTTCAGTAGCCAATGTGACTTTAACAAAGACTTATGTTGTAAAATTTGATCGAAGTACAAACTTTGGAATGTGGCAATTAAAGATGGAAACTATCCTAATTCAGGATGGCTTAGATTTGGCGTTGCAAAGAAAGGAGAAAAAGTCGGATAAAATAACGGATGCGGAGTTTGCCATCATAGACAAAAAGGCAAAAGCATGTATCATTTTAAATCTCTCAAATGAGGATTTACGTGAAGTTTCTGTAGAAACCACAGCCAAAGGCATGTGAAAAAAATTGAAAACCTTATATATAAAGAGGTCGGTGAAAAATAGACTTTACCTGATGTACAAGCTTTATACAATTCGTATGGGTGAAGGTACCTCTATTCTCTCTCATCTTGACACCTTTGATTCCATTCTTATGGATTTGAGTAATAAAGATGCTGAAATTAAAGATGAGGATGAAGCCTGTCACAACCCAAAATCTCACCTGTCGTGATGACGCCTATCTCAGTATTAGGCAAGCCGAAAATCTCAATGAACCACAAATTCTTTTAAGTCCGAAAAATATAATATTTAAATATAATACATAATCCCCCAAATACTGATACGAACACTCCCTAAAACCTGGAGTCACTGAGTACATGAGCATCTAATATGGATACAAGTCAAAAGAAAAAGGTCTATAATAGTGTAAGACCAAATACAGTAAGCGAGGAGATATGGAAGGAGAGACAAGGTCTGCGAAAACATGGCAACTACCTCTGAATCTCCAGAAAATCAACTGTGCGGAAGAATTAACACTCGCTATATCCAGAAATACCTGGGTCTGCACACGAAGTGCAGGGTGTAGTATGAGTACAACCAACTCAGCAAGTAACAATAATAAATAAGGAACTAAAAATAATGATGAGCTACACAGTTACAATTCATTTCCAGTAATTCCAGCAAAGAATAGACATGCTTTCAAATCCGATAGTTTAAGTCAAATAATAATTACTATTCAAGTTCATGTAATCCGAATATAAAAATCTTTTAGAGAATTTCACAACAATGACAGATAGCAACTAAGTGCAACAACAAATGAAAAGCAAGTACAACCTCTCAGGCCAACAATCACTCCACTCATCACAACAACTTATCCACTCGACTCTCAGCCCTCAGCATTCACACTCAATGGGTACCCGCGCTTACTGGGGGAGTACAGACTCCAGAGGGGCTCTTATAGCCCAAGCGTTATAATCTGCACGGATAACTCACGTGCCATAATATAAATATCTGGATCTGCACGACCAACTCACGTGCTATAGTATAATATAAGGATCCGCACGGCCAACTCACGTGCTATAGTATAATATAAGGATCCGCACGGACAACTCACGTGTTGCACGGCCAAATCACGTGCTATAGTATAATAACTCACAATCAGGCCCTCGACTTCACTCAGTCATAAAGCTCTTCAGTCTCCTGGGCTCTCCACAATCATAAGATCAGCCCAAATAACAATGATATGATACATCAATAATGAACAATAGAGACTGAGATAAAATAATCAAGTAAGTTGTGACTAAGTACAAAACAACAATTTAAACAGATAATTCATATGTACACGACCGATGTGGGTCCTAACAATACCAACATATAGCCTAAACATAGTTTCTATCATGACTTATAGTCAAGTTTCCACAACACATATAGGGCACATAACTATCAACAAGTTATTCAGCTTTACAATTTTTACGGGACGGACCAAGTCACAATCCCCTCGGTGCACGCCCACACGCCCGTCACCTAGCATGTGCGTCAACTCCAAAATAATCATATGACACAAAATTTCGGGGTTTCATACCCTCAGGACCAGATTTAAAACTGTTACTTACCTCAGAGCGTGAAATTTTTTACTCTGCTATGCCTTTGCCTCGCAAATCGGCCTATGAATGCATCGAATCTAGTCACAAATAATTCATTTCAATCAATAAAATTTATTGGAATTAATTCCATAAGAAAATGCTAATTTTCCATAAAATACCCGAAATTTAGCTTAAAAATCGCCCGTGGGGCCCACATCTCGGAACCCGTCAAAAGTTATAAAATCTGAAAGCCCATTCAACCACGAGTCTATCCATATCAATTTTACCAAAATCTGACCTCAACTCAATCCTCAAATCTACAAATCTTATTTCCAAATTTCTAAGTTCCAATCTCTGATTTACACCTCAAAATCATGTAATCTAGTCGGATTATTCGATGATAATTCAATATTATGTAGTAGAAATGATCACAAGGGACTTACCTCAAGTTTTTCTTAAAAATCTATCAAAAATCGCCTCTCTTCAAGCTCCAATTTGTCAAAAATAGCGAATGGGACGAAGTCCCTACTTTATAATTCTGCCCAGACAGCCTCGGTTCTGCCTCGATCTTGGCCCTCGATTGCGGTCCTCGATCCTGGGCCTCGATCCTGACCCTCAATCATGGCCTTCGATCATCGCTTCGATCCTGGTCTTCGACCCTGCCTTCGATCGTGGCCCTCAACCCTGGGCTCGATCGTGGCCCTCGACCCTAGGCTCGATCGTGGCTTGATTCTGGGCTCGATTTTTGGGCTCGATTCTGGGCTCGAATCCGGGCTCGATTTCTGGTAGAAGGAACTTCCAGCATAAGGGAATTGCAGCAGCTGTTGTAGTTTTATTTTTGATCTGTTAACCATCTGAAACTCACCTGAGGCCCTCGGGACCTCAACCAAATATACCAACAAGTCCTAAAATATCATACGAACTTAGTCGAATCCTCAAATCACCTTAAACAACTCTAAAACCATGAATTACGCCCAATTCAAGCCTAATGAACTTTGAAATTTTTAATTTCTACAAATGACTCTAGAACCTATCAAATTACGTCTGATTGACCTCAAATTTTGTACACAAGTCATAAATGACATAACAGAGGTATTCCAATTTTCAGAATCGAATTCCGGCCCCAATATCAAAAAGTCAACCCCCTAGTCAAACTTCCCAAAAATTCAACTTTCAGCATTTCAAGCCTAATTCTACTACGGACCTCCAAATAATTTTCTGGACACGCTCCTAAGTCCAAAATCACTATACGGAGCTATTGGAATTATCAAAATTCAATTCCGATATCGTTTACACATAGGTCCATATCCGGTCAACTTTTCTAACTTAATTTTCAATTATGAGACTAAGTGTCTCATTTCACTCTGAATTCCTTTCGGATCCGAACCAACTAACCCGGTAAGTCATAAAATAACTATAAAGCATAAATTGAGCAGTAAATGTGATAACAGAATTATAATACTCAAAAACGACCGAGCAGGTCGTTATAAAATCGTGTTACTGCTTTATTATCTACCCCCATCTTTTAAGCATATAAGTGATGCTATGCTTTATGCAAAGGATAATATCTCTTATAAGGATATTAAATCTATCTTAAAATCAAAAGAACAGATAGATAATGATATTAATGGGGAAGCTAGTGGAACTCAAACGGAAGTTGGCTTGTTTGTTAGGGGCAAATCCGACTCCATATCCAGATACAATAATTTAGAGTGTCGCTATTGTCATAAGAAATATCACATTATCTCTGAATGCTATAAACTAAAAAATAAAGAAAAGCATAAAGAAAGAAAAAATGAGCACAAAAATACTGACACCGCCGAAGCTAGTGTAGCAACTGATGAGATTGAGGGAACTATATTTTTAGCAACTAAAACTAGTTTCAGATTAGACAATGAGTGGATTTTAGATTCTGGTTGTTTATATCATATGTGTCCTAGCAATGATTTATTTTCTACATATGATTCAGTTGCAGGTGGAGTTGTCCAACCTAGTAACAATGTTACTTGTAACGTTATTGGCAAAGGTACAATTCGGATCAGAATGCAAGATGGTGTGGTGAGAACTCTCACCGATGTTAGATATGTTCCTGAGTTGAAGAAAAATCTCATCTCTTTGGGCACTTTAGAATCCCTTGGGTGCTAATTCACTGGTGAAGGTGGAGTTCTAAAAAATTTTCAAGGTGCTCTTGTGATCATAAAAACACACAGATCTGGTTCGTTGTATACTTTATTGGGCTCCACTGTTATAGGCCCTACTACAGTTTCGGTATCACACAACTTGTCTGATTTTGATGGCCTTAAATTTTGACATATGCCCGTTGGAGATTTTGCGGAGAAGGTGGAGTAAATTTACTATATCAACCAAAATTAGGCCAATGTGGAGATTTGTAATATGGCCAATATTTTGGCTAATGGAGTTCATCTCACATAAGCATAAGCATCTTTGCAAAGTATAGGCTTTGTTGGAAATATTATTTGGAACCCAAAAATATTGCATTGTGTGGTGGACATCATTTGCATAAGTTATATCTTTTCTTTTACGCCTAAGAGGCCAATGCTGTTTTGCCTATAAAAGGGAAGGCCATTAGTTCATTTCATACACACCAACAAGACTTGATTCTTCATTTCTTGTTTCTTCATTTCTTCCTTTATTAAGAGTGTTTTGTATGAGAGTTAAGTGTTGGGAAGCACTTGTGTGAACTCTTTCTTTGGAGTGATCTTGTGAAGTTATTTCCTTAGGGTATTTGGGATTAATTAGAGTATTTACTCTAATTTTGTACTCTCTTTTATACTCTTATTGGTATAGTAAAATTGCTCCTCTCCGCTTGTGAAATAGGTCACTTTGACCGAACCACGTTAAATTTGTGTTTTCTTTATATGCTTTATTTGCCATTATTATCAACTTGTATTGTCTTTGTTATTGTCATTATAATATTGTTTGACTAAATTCCGCACTACTCGAGTTCACGATCCTAACAGAATACAACTCTAGACAGAGGATGACTGGGCTATTTTGGAACATTCACTACAAAAAAAGGCTCAATTTGTGGGGTTTATTTTGTTACTTTGTGGAATTTTTTGACCCCCACAATATGAATTGCGGCGGTTTTTGAAAAACGCCACACTTACGTTCGCCACAAGCATATTTGCGACGGTTTTTTAGAACCTCCACGACGACCGCCACAAAATGACTTTTTAATTTGTGACGGTTTTAAAGTCAATTTGTGTCAATTTAAAACCTCAACACTATGATCTCAATGTTTTAAAAAATTAAATTTGTGTAGGTATAAAACCGCCACAGTATGATAAATATTTATATAAATTTAATTCTTGGAGGTGTTATGACCGCCACAAATAGCTATTTTAAAATTTAGAATTCAAATTACATCGAGCCTAAATAATCATGCAAATAAACAATTTTACTATATAACACATTTAATGTAAATCAAATTTCATTAAACAAATCTGTCGTAACAAGCATCACAAATTCAAAATCATATCAAACTAAAGGAATGAGAACTCGTGTATGGTAATTTGAACATTACACCTTAAATTCATAAAAATATATAGTTGCACATCAAATAAACATAAAAAAAATTGTACAAAAGATTTGCTTGCTGATTCGAGTTGCTGCCACCCCATTATCTTCCATTCAAGGTGAAGTAAGCTAACTCTCCCGATCCTTGGGCTGAAACAATGAAAACCCTTATACATAATTAGAAAAATGAACATCACTGATATACATATATTATTGATATACATATATCATTGTACATATTGATCAAAAGGAACACTTTATAGAAAAGTACTATTAATATAGGAAAAGAAACACAACATGTTGCTTCTTCAAAAATAAGAAAAAGAAAAGAAGATGGTAATGCATGCTACCATTGTTAATAACTGATGATCCACAATTACCTCACATACCTCACATATCACAGTATGAAGTCAAAACAACTCAGAACATGTTCAGAGCTATTAAAACTAAGGATCAATTCCTTAGTAAGGTATGGCATTCTAGCATTCTTTTTAAAATTTCCTTTCTAACTTGGAGATTATGGCTGTCAAAACTTCCTTTTGATGAAGTACTACTTAACTTTGGTAGAAAAATTATTTCTACATGAGTTTGTTGTACTAACCATGTCAATGAGTCTATCTAACATGTGTTTATGGAAAGTGATGCAGCAAGGTTTATCTGAAAAGCGATAGGTGCTCCCCTCGGAATTAAGCATGTACACATACCTATTCGTGGGTGGCTCAATCACTGGTGGCAACAAAGGTCTAAAAATGCTGTTCACAAACAAGCTTTGCAGATAATTCCAATCATTACCTGTTGGGAAATTTAGAAGAATAGATGCTCGTGTAAATGTGGAGATCAAAAGAAGTTCAACTTTTACAACATACAACAACAGATAATTTGGAATGTTATGGCTGTTGTACAGCGATCCTTTCCGAAATGCAAGTTGACATTGCCTTGGATCAAGTACTGTGATTATATGGTCAGACTACAACCCATCCCTGAAACCATTATGGTAACATGGATGACAATTATAAAATGAAGAACACGATAGATGATATCTTACAATGTATGAACCAAGCCAATATCACTCCTGTGCATTGCAATAGAGAAGCTAACCAAGTAGCGGATTACTTGTCAAAAATAGTTTCCAACACATCGGAGAGTAAGATGTACATGTCTTTCTACCTTTTGCCCAGGGAAATCAAGAGAACTTTCATTTTAGATAAATTTCAAGTACCTAGCATTAGAACAAAGTATAATAAGGAAAATTTCTTTGTGAGTTAAGCCTCCAGTCCTGTCGTCTTGTAATTTTGGGCACAAGAGGATGTTTTACACCTCACTATATTTTTTATTTATTTTGGTTAAGGTGGACTCCATAGTGTTATAATCTTGGAGGTAAGGCAATCTTCCCCTCCTTCCTAAAGATAATACAACACACACACCCATCCATACTGGGAAATTATATTTAAAAAAAAAAATTAAAACAACTAAAAAGTTAGTATATTATAATCTGACCAGTTTGTCACTATCTCAACACAAATAAGTTGAGGAAAGAATTTGTAAAATAATACTTTATACAAAGTACTTTATTCAAGATATTTCAATACTCACACACCTTGAAATCAAAAGCTCATTTTGTCTCTCTATTCCTCATTTTATTAGGACACAGAGCTCTCCAATTAAACTTATATGCCTTTTAGAGCTTATATATCTATCAGTAAGCAAGAATAAATTGAATAGCACCAATATCACCCCCAAGAAGTGAACCTATACTAACTACCTAAAAATTGATTTAGGTGATAGTTGGATGCAAAATTTATGTCATATTATTTCAAACAAGGCTTCCTTAAACTAGCAAATATGCACCCAATCTGCTGCTGCTTCTTTTTTCCTAACTCGTGCTCCAAATTAAACTAATATAAAATAAATGAGGCAAACATCAATTAATAAGAGAATCATTGGAATAGCAAACAGTAAGATGAAGAAGGAAAGTTTATAAAGAACCTACTGAAGTTAGATTTTGAATCATGGCCAAGTGAGCTCTAGCAATGAACCAATATTCTACCTTCTCTTGCATTTATCAATTTTAGTTGGTTGAGCTAGAATTTTAGTTATAGATGAACTTATTATGAACCTTTATCATTGGAATGCTTTTTGAGAATGTCTTGAAGTTATGAGGCTTCTCTTAACTAAAGCAACATAATCAACCTTAGGATTTCAACTCTCCTTGGATGCTGACTATTGAAAAACTATCCAAACTATATGCATGTAGTAGACGCCAAACAATAAAATAAGCTCTGATAAGATAGAGCCCTAGCTTATCGGAGAGCATAAATCGGGCAGATATTCTTAACTTCTACGATTTTTTCAACTGAATCACCACCATAATCCTAAGATTTCATATATTTCATCACAATCAACTGTCATTGTAAAGATAAGTTTGCTCACGTCACAAATAGTACAATACAATAATCAATGACAAATGCGAGTAATAAATCCATAAAGATACATATAAATTAAACCCATTAACTGAATTGGAAGAAATTTATAGAGTTGAGAAATGCAAAAACTAGGGCTGTTAGAGGAGAACTGCGGAAGAAACGACATAAGAGCCAATACATACCGGTCTTCTGATTCTCAGCTAAATATTCTCTACGGCGCTGATGAGAGCAGCCACTGTTAGTCGTCTCACTCTCTCTGACGTATATGAAAAATTATACTACTACATAACATAAAGAAAAAAATATCTACTCTGCAGCGTGAGCGAAAGCACAAATCAGAATTCCTTCCCGTAATAGCTACGAAGAGACATAGATTCATAGAACAACAAACTAATGAGAATATATTAACTTACCGGAGTACGTTGAGGGGACATTGCCGGCAATTTGGGGGTTCTGGGAGCATTTGATTTGGGGAAATAGCTAACCTTTGGGAGTATTTGATTTGGGGAAAACCTAAGCCATAAGAAGAGTGCTTCTTTTTCTCTTTTTGTTAAGTTAAAATTCACAACAATGAAAAAAGGCGCTTGAATTTTCTGAAAATTTTAACTTTGCGCCAAAAATTTAGTGAGAGATTACGGGAAATATATCCCACGCCAAATAAAAAGAAAAAATTCATAAAAAGGTAAATATTAATTCCATGCTAATTGTCGCTAATATAATCCTCCCGCTAATTTCATGATATTTTTTTTTTACAATTAACTAATTTCAGTCATTATTTATACCTCAATTATAATCTCCACATTATAATTTTGGTAGAATTTATTTGCAAAACAAACAATTCCTTAAATAAGGAACGTAGAATTGTTCCTCAATTGGATTTGAATCTTTAATTTTGTGGATTGCTACATAATTTGATCGTGTAATCTATTTTAAATAATATTTTTATTGTTTAANACAAAATTGTGGGGGTTAGTAACCGCCGCAAATTGTAGATATTGCAGCGATTTGCAAACCTCCAAAATAAAACCGTCACAAACGGGAATTATTTTGTGGGGGTTAAAATAAACGTCACAAAATAAAATAATAGTGGGGGTTTCTAAAAACCCCGTAGATAAACCGGCACAAATTGAGCCTTTTCTTGTAGTGATTAAAAGGATCGATAAGAGGTACAAGCAGAAAAAATTAAGGAGTTATATGAAGAACAAAGATATCAAGCTAGCTAGGCTGATAGAAACGGGAGTGAAGCAGCCAAAGTCCAATAGAGTGGTTAATAACATTGTTACTAATTGGGGTTTTCACAATAACTATCATTGTGCTCCAAATGGTAGAGTTTGGATACCGTGGGATAGAAGCTACTATGAAGTGGAGTTTTCGGTCTTTGCATGAAGATTTGTAATAATTCTAATTTAATTTAGGAGTTATTTAGTAATTTAGCGCAAAAAAAACTTAATTATTAATTAATATAAAAGAAGAAGACAAAAAAAAACACTTAAAAAGAAGCAAAAACAACTTGGTTCGAAACAGAAGCAGAACGCAAAAGCAAAAAAAGAAAACGTAGCAGGAGAAAAGAAAAAAATAAGTTAATACAAAAAGTTTAATTACCAAAAAAAAGGAAAAAAAAGAGAGGAAAAGAGAGGAGAAAAATAGGGATCTTTGCCCCAAATCATCCGGGTAATGATTCTTAACTTTTATTTGAGTTTATTACGTAATTATGAGGAGATTTGTATGGTACAAACATGGAGAAATTTTCATAAATTGAGAAAGTCAAACCCTAGGGTTTTTCAAAATTTATCAATTTCAAAGGCCAATATTATCAAATTTTGATTTTGATTAGTGTCTTGGAATCCTCTCGCTGGAGAATCCTTTGATGGTCATTCTCCGAAAATTTTGTCCTGCTGACCAAAGTTGACTTTGGGGTCGACCTTTGACCGCGAGTTTGCCTTGTGTTAAATATTATAACAATATTCATATTATGATTTTTGACTATTCTAAATCCGTTTTTGTATAGTTTGGGATGATCCGGAGACCCGAGAGTATAATTTTGAGTTATTAGAACGAGTGCTTGGATTATGAATTCGAGCTAAGTGAGACTTTAAGTTTTGATGCTTGCTTTTCAAACCCGTTTTGAAAATATATTTTGTCTATCTGGCCCATGTATTAGGACGAGTGTGTGCTTGGCAGAATCGGTGGTCTTAGACCAGCCGCAAATATATATTATTTTGTGAAAAACTGAACTTATTTAATAAGTGATTTTTGGCGTGGCGTAGCCTCGTGCTATGGCGTGGGGAGTTAGAAATTATTTGTTCATTGTCGTAATATATTTGGGGCATTGTGTATGCCGTCAGGGTAGATTTGGAGCATTTATATGCTGTCGTGGACTCGTCGAGGTGTTCAGTTAATCTATTTCAGAAGCATTATTGGTGGAGAATAATGAAGACGAATATAGTTGAATATGTGGCTCGGTGTTTGAATTGCCAACAGGTAAAGTACGAGCATCAGAGGCCCATCGGTTTGCTTCAAAGACTTGAGATTCCCGAGTGGAAGTGGGAGCATATTACCATGCATTTCGTTATTGGGCTTCCACGAACTTCAAAGAAGTTCGACGTAGTATGGTTCATAGTGGATAAGTTGACCAAGTCGGCACATTTCATTCTAGTAGCAGTTACCTATTCTTTAGAGCGGTTGGTTGAGATCTATATCCGCGAGATCGTTCGCCTTCATGGTGTGTTGGTATCTATTATTTCTGATTGGGGCACGCAGTTCACATCACACTTCTAGAGGCCCGTACAATGTGAGTTAGGCACACAGGTTGAGTTGAGTATAGTATTTCACCCCCAGACGGACAGTCAATCTGAGCGCACCATACAGATATTGGAAGATATGCTTCGCGCCTGCGTTATGGATTTTGGAGGTTCGTGGCATAAGTTCTTTTCGTTTACGGAGTTTTCCCACAACAACAACTACCAATCAAGTATTTAGATGGCTCTCTATGAGGCATTATATGGGAGGCAGTGTCATTCGTCAGTTGGTTTGTTTGAGCCGGGAGAGGCTCGGTTGTTGGGTACCGATTGGTTCAGGATGCTTGGGAAGAGGTCAAGATGATTCAGGATAGACTTCGCATCGTTCAGTCTAGGCAGAAGAGTTATGCCGACCGGAGGGTTCGTGATGTTGCATTCATGGTTGAAAAGAGGGTTTTGCTTCGGGTTTCACCCATGAAGGGTGTGATGAGGTTCGGAAAGAAGGGCAAGTTGAGCCCTAGGTATATTGGACCCTTTGAGATTCTTGAGAGGGTTGGTGAGGTGGCCTACAAGCTTGCATTGCCACCTAGTTTATCAGCAGTCCATTCGGTGTTCTATGTGTCCATGCTCCGGAAGTATCACGGTGATCCGTCCCATGTGTTAGATTTCAGCTCAGTCCAATTGGCCAAGGATTTGACTTATGAGGAGGTGTTGGTGGTCATTCTAGCCCGGCAGGTCCAAAAGTTGAGGTCTAAGATTTATCCTTTAGTTAGAGCACGGTGGAGAGGTCAGCCGATCGAGGCAGCCACGTGGGAGTCCGAGTCCGACATGCGGAGTAGATACCCACATCTTTTCACCATCCTAGGCACCTTTATATGTCTCTTTGAGGACGAACGTTTGTTCTAAAGGTGGAGAATGTGATTTTGAGTCTTAGCTTTATTTTCATGTTTTGAGACCTTGATTAACTCCATTTAATAATTCTCGATTTGCGTGCATAATCCTTGTATTTTTCCGGAAAATATTTATGTGAAAAATTGAAGAAAATGTGATTTTTTGTCTTTAAATGATTTGAGTTGACTACTGCCAACATTTCGTGTAAACGAATCCAGATCAGTATTTTGACGGTCCCGGTGGATCCGTATCGTAATTTGGGACTTGGGCGTATGACCACAATTGAATTCAGAAGTCACTAACTTGATTTAACCTGATTTATTGAATACTAGTAATTTGATGGTTTAAAGAATTTTAAAGTTTGACCGTCGGTCGACTTTGTTTCTACCGGGTTTCGATTTCAGGTTCCGGGACTTGGTATAGTTTCATAAAGTTCTTCCTTAGGAAGTCGATTGATTAGAGAAGCCATTTCGTTCTTCTCAAGTTCAACGTTGATAAAATTAGAATCTTGAATTAGAATCCGTTGTTCATATAGTATGTTGGAAGGTTCATTTAGACTAGGAAGAGACGTTTCCCCCCTTTCTAGCGGCGTTCCTGGGGGGGGGGGTGCTAAGCTAAATTCCAGATTTAATGGTTTGTCAACGCATTCTGCTATTTGCACCAACCCTGCGAAATACATATACAAACAAACAATACACGTGAAAATGGTCCATTTTACTATTTATGATTTGTCTGTAAAATTTGGTTCAAAACGGAGTTGATTTGATATGATTCGGACGCTCGGTTGTAAATTTAAAAGTTCTTAAGTTTCATTAAAAATTTCATACATTTTGATGTCCAATTTGTAGTTCTAGGTGTTATTTTGGTGTTTCGATCATGTGAGCAAGTTCGTATGATATTGTTACACTTGTATGCATGTTTCGTTTGGAGCCTGAGGGGCTTGGGTGAGTTTCGGATAGGCTACGGGTCATCTTTGGAATTAGAGGATCTCCTGGTTTGTTGTATCTGGTATCTGGTACTTTGTGCTTCGCGATCGCGAAGCTACTCTCGCAATCGCAAAGGGGAAGTGGGGCTGGGAAGGAAATGTCTTCTATGCAAACGCGGTGACTTGGTCGCGAACGCGAAGTAGCGGGGGGTAAGTGTTGGATCTAACCTTGACTTGAGAAAATTAGGAATTTTTGAATTATGTGTTATGTGGATTATGTGAGAAAATAGCGTATATGCAAAGTGACGAGTGCATATACGCCGTTAATATAATGACCCGATCGGTCATTTTGAGAATTAACGTCCTGTTCGGCGACGTAAGGTATTGATCAGCTTTGTATTATGTGTTATAACTTGTGTGTATGGCCGAGTTCAGTTTTCAGATGATTCGGGATCAATTTGGAAGAAAGATTCTTGTTTTAGAAGCTTAAGCGGTACGAGTTTACCACAATTTTACTTTTGTGCAGACGACCTTGAAATGGCCTTTTGATGATTCCAATTGCTTCGTATGGTGATTTTGGACTTAGGCATGCGTCAGGATTTGGATTTGGAGGTCCGTAGGGTAATTTGAAGCATTTCAGTGAAAATTGGAAAGTTGAAGTTTCGGAAGGTTGAGAGGTTTGACTGAGAGTTGACTTTTGTCATATAGGGGTCGTAATGCGATTCTGAGAGTTGGATTAGCTCTGTTATATCATTTGAAACTTGCATACAAAATTTGACGTCATTTTGGGTTGATTTGATATGTTTCAGCGCGCGTTTTGGAAGTTAGAAGATTTGGAAATTCATAAGTTCGATTCATGGTGCGATTCAGAGTTTCGACGTTGTTTGATGTGATTTGAGACCTCGAGCAAGTCCGTCTGTTATGGAACTTGTTGGCATGTTTCGACGGGGTCCCGGGGGCCTCGGGTGTATTTCGGATGGTCATGCTTTAGAGTTGCTGATTCTGTCATTTGGTTTTATTCTTTGCGTTCATGTCAATGCCTTCGCGTTCGCGTAGTATAATTTG